AAGATGATTATTTCGACCTTCGTGAAATTAAGAATCAACTCAAGTAGCTCAGAAATTGAGATGCAATATTCCAGTTATTAGATTTTGAGACTATGGGGCAAAAGAAACTATTTTCCTATGACCGGTTATTCTACTAACAAATGTAAAAATATTTTCTTGAAAGATGTTTCCTGATTGGAATGAATGTGAGCCAGGCATACCAAATGTTTGAAATCAGTTAATGAAACATTCGATTACCGTTTTTGTATTTGAAACTCATCGTCAATGGAAATTATAGCACAGCAACAAAATCTCCTTTTGCCTCGAAATCAGGAAAATAAACTCTATCTTTCCGTATTATTATTGGTACCTGATGATATATTATGTACCTACTCTGGAAGCCTACGCTACCCACATCCTTCTCCACAATTAGGTTAAAAGACAAAACCCGAATGTTCTTTTTAGATAATGACCTTTAAACGATTCATGGTAATCATCAACCTAAATAAAATATTACAACAAAAAGCGAAATAAAATGGGCCATGGCTTCCGGCCAAACGACGGAAGTTATAACGAGATATCGCGTACCATTCTAGAATCCAGTTTTGCAAACAGTGATACTGTTTTTATCAGTTCCGACTACTTAATATTTGTTCAATGAAGTTTTAAAACAAAAAATTAGAGTGGTTATAATAGAAGCTTTCACTAATATATGTGTGATAAGGCAGAAATCAGAAGCTGCTGGTTTATCAGAACAGAAACGGATTTGTAGCATGAAAAATTTTATTAATAGACAGCCCAAAATCCTGTAAGGTTTACAAAATTTTAGAAGAGAATTTTCTTTTACTGCTGGGGTATATTAAATACATACTCTTTCATGCAACCTGGTTTAGCTAAAATAAAAAATACTTGAATAATCCTGCTTTCACTTATTTTCTATGTCTAGGATTGGCTGCTGACTTACAAAACTATTAACCAAAATGTGTAGTTCATCTTCACCTAAGATTTTATGTTTCCAATTTGGAACTAAGACATCTAACCAATATCTACTCAACAAACAAATATTGCTATCATAATCTACTACTTTTATTTCCAAGTGATGGCTCGAGTTCACAAAATTTACACTAGTCATAGCCTTATATGCAGACTTCATGACTTGTCCAAACAAAGTATTTACTTTACAATTCTGTTTGGTTAGTGTAACATTTAGGAACATTGATCGAAACATTTCATAAGGCATAATGGTACTATTTGCACCTATATCTATCTCCATATACTCACTGGCTTACTATTAATCAGAATACTTAACATAGCTGGACAATGAGCACCTGTTGTAACTGATCTAAAAACTTCCTCATTTTCATAAATTCTAGACCAGTAAACTAGAACTCTTCTTCGCCATCTTTTTCGTCTTAACTTCCAACTTGTTCTTCTTCTTCGGTATAATGCACTTTATTTTTATGACATAATGGTTATATGGCTGTATGCCCAACTTTATTGCATCCAAAACATTTCCCATTGCTAGCTGGACACTTTGATTGATATGGACTCTCATTTTACAATTATTTTTGTAATTTTTCTGTCTACTAGACACATTACCACTGATAGACTTTCTCGAACTTACTTTCACCAGAATAGCTGGACTGAAATTTGTTTTTTCCAATGTGAAACTTATCTACTAATTCAGACCCTATTATTTTTGCTTGACCTTCTGCCGATTCTATGCTAGAAGTAATTTTTACTGCTTTTTCAAAATCCAGCTGCTCTTCAGTTAATAGTTTTCGCCTAATTGATTCCGACTTGATGCCACATACAAACTTATCTCGTAGTGCCTCATCCAAAAACTGCCCAAACTTATAGTTTTTCACTAAATTTCTCAATTTCAATGTGACCATTGAAATATCTCCGTGGCTCTCTTGCCTAGCAGTATAAAACTGGTACCTCTCTGCAATGACTAAACGCTTTGGACTTGTGTTTTTTTTTGTGTTTTGCCAAAACTTCCTTCTGATCATATGACTTATCCTTTAGCAGTTCTGGATACAACAAATCTTTTAACACTTCATAAGCTTCTCCTTCAACAAGGGTTAAATGCATGTTTTTAGCATACTGTTTTTCCTTCTTCTATGCAGTTACATTCACATAACTCATCCATTCTCGCCATACATGAAGTAACTTCACAGTCTCTAGGCTTAAATGTTTCAAATTCTTGAATTTTCATTATTTTTCTTATTCCAGGCTTTTGCGTTTTCCTTATGTCTTGATTCTAAGTACAAAATGAAATCCATCCCCAATTCAAAGATAAATTAATGAAAACATAAGTGAAAAGGAGCAGGAGATTCAAACATCATGATTTCTAGTGCTATTGGTTTGTTGTAGAGGTTATCCGCTGTAAGCTTGAAAATTATTTCTCTGTTCTAATTAGGTATACCTAACTCTTAAGTAGCGAAGATCAAGAAACGCTTTAATAGTTAGGATTTTAAGATGGATTTTCGGCTATTCTGTACTAGTAAGTAGGACGTCCAACAAGTCATCTCACTCCAGGAAATTATGAATTCCGTAATCTGTTACAGGATATCCAATATATTCTCCTTTTTGTCCAAATGGGGTCATCTATGTCCAAAAGAAAAGACTCGTTCTCACTATCCTGCATGACTTTTCTCGCTTTATCACAAAAATTTTGACTTGGATGACTTCTATTTTCTTATATTTTACCTTTTTTTTGTTCTTTTAGTTTCAGTAAGGAACTTTTCAGAGATATGAGCTTGGAATTTATCATCGGATGGAGACCATAATACTCCAGAGACTTCTTTATGTCTTCTTGTGGCAATTCTTGAATTTTTTGTTCTCTAAATTGCTCAGGACAATTCCTGAGCAATTTAGAGCATTCCTGCATTCCTGACGTCAATACGTAAGCAATGCAGAATGATTACGCATTGAAAATCTTGCAGACCCGCATGGCTTGTGGCTGGAAAGTTTTCTGCTTCTTCAGTTGCGAGTTTGTGTAGTGTCTTGATCACTAGGTATCGAGGTGATGCTGTACCATATGTAGCCGTAGTAAGCTCATATTTCAACATTGGTTTTTGGGGGATTTTCTCTTTATAGAATTCTTTGGAACTTTTGATGCCAGTGCCGGTAGAGCTTTTGCAGGATGCATAAAATACTACTCTTAAACGAGTGGTTGTGCTTGATTCTCAGATAACTGCCTGATGAGGAATGTAATATTTTCCTTGATTTATTTCATGTCTTGTTACTTTTCTCATGGGTCCAAAGCTGAGGCATTCCTTGAAAAAGTTTGCACACTGCTCATGTAAGGTAGCGTCTACTTGGAATTTCTTTTCGAAGTTTGCAAGTCGTGCTGCGTCTCTTGGCTTTAAGTGTTTCAATATTTCTGGAGAAGTTTTGAATGGAATACGAACTGTGAATCTGCCATTCATGTCCCGGGTTGTCGTCATCAAATATCGATTCTGTAACTTTACTGCACTCATCATCAGTTTCGTTTCACTCTCTCTGGATGGAGAGGAGTGGAAAGATGGTCGACATATTGACTGAGGAGTGTATAAACTCCTTATTATTGTACTTCATAGTATTTATCGTCCATTTTATTACTTCGTAATTTATGCCCCTTTAATGAAGCAGACCTCTAATTATTGTTAACGATCCTGAAAGCGAGTTTTGTGTGTTTTCAAAAAGTAATTCATTTCGACATATAATTTTCTTTCCTAGGCGCCTCCAACAAAATAAACATTCGTAAGTTATATGAAAAGCTGATTATTTGTCTTTGCGGTATTTAAATAAATATTAGTAGTTATATCTCCAAATCAACTAACGCCTCCGGTAATTTATTCATATGCAATGAATGAAATATGATTTACCGCACGTTTCACTGGCTCCCTAAATAGTCAATTAAACAATCAAAGTTAAACATTATGCGACAAAATTATCGTAAATCAAATAGCGTATGCATAACTTTGTTTAGAGGTACTTCACGGGGGCGTTAGGGGCCATAAAAGCTACATGATGGATCAAATAAGGAATCTATATAATAATGTCCCAAATTCACCTGTAAACAAGATCCAAGATGTTAAATGAACTTGATCATTTTAGATGTTTATCGATCATTATATGATAGTTTTCTTATGATACCGGATCGAATATCGAATAACTACCGGTTCAATGAAGAAAAAGTTGAATAAGATAAGATAGCTGGAGTGCATATACCTTCAATAGTAATGCAACAGATGTTTGTGCGATGTCAGAATAGATAAGGATCCATGTCTTTTGAAATGTTTAGTGTTTATTCAGATATATTTAAATGTGTTTAGGGAGTCAACAATTATAATAATTACTCTTTTGTCAGCCTCCTTTAGGAAAAACTTCATTATGCTGGTACCATCATGTTTTGTTCATCCTATAATCCACTTTTCAATTTATGCTCAAAAAGTTCACAAATCATTGAGGTTTTTATCGGCTCTCTGGTTTACATATCGAAGTGTCTGTAACAAAATACGCACGTGCATATATGCGGAACTCTGAGGTACTTCCCTATATTAAGTATGCGCTGAGTTCCGATACAAGAGTTTTATTTTCAATGAACCAAATCAATGGCTTAATCTCAACACCCACCGACCAACAAAAAGATTCAGCATCTCAATACCCAACTTAATCTAATTACAAGTCGCCCATTAGGTGGTTCAAGCACTAATAAACGGAAACCGCGTTAGAGGTATTCGAGAGATTTACAGCTGAGATATGCGTTTATTTTCTTTAGGAGAGCTTTAAAAAGTCTATGATTTAAGAGACAGTGCATAACTTTAACAATTTAAATGTATTGTCAGCGTGAAACTGGTTTTGCTCAAACAAACGCGTATCTGTTGCATTGCAAATAAATGTGATGTGATAAATAATAGGGTATAACGTTGAAGGTTAATTGGCTATGATTATTGGGTTTAGAGCCTCTAACTTATAGTCGAAAAGCTCAATTATTTGCTTTGGTAATTAATACATTATTTTGTTTGTTTTAGGTTCATGGTAGTGTGTATAGGGATATCGGAGATTAATGGGGTAAGTAACAATCTTCAATTTTTTCTACTAAAATATTAATAATTTATGTCACCGAAACGAACTAAGGGCCGTTTTCGCTACATTGGCCCTCTTATTTTCGTCCAGAATTGTTTCTATGTCGACAATTGCAGAATTCTCGAAATTTTCATCCAATATTTTCATGGAAATAGCAGTCCTTGTCTTCTGGTTCTTTCCACCAAGATCTCCATATGTCTCTAGACCTGAAAATGACTTTCAGCATACTTCGTACAATTCTCTAATCTCTCTATATTTGGAATCGCCAAGTCTAAACTGTGGCAGCACGAATTGCACCAGTCCTTGACATCAGCTTGAGAATGTTCCCAGTAGATACGTACTAGTCCTGTAACTCCATCATCATGGACTTCGTGCATTATTTCTGACCGTTCGTTCTTGGGTATTAGGATCTGACTTTCTATTTGAAGTCTCCACAATCCCAAGGCCATCGCTCAGTACCAGCTGAGCCCAGTGGGATTTAATCCCTGGAGAATAATTCGCTTCTTCCTGCCATATTGGCCATTATCCTTCTATTCTAGAGAGAGGCTTATCGATACGATATATCGATATATCGATATATAGCTACATTGATACACCCTCGATGATGGTGCATATCGAATGTGATATATATTGATAAGGATCATTGTATAACGTCAGAGTTAAATGTAAATGTCACTGTTCTAAATTATCAGTACCTTCATATTTTTTCTATCCCAGGCTTTATTTCAACAAATTCAACAGTCAGGAAGAGACAAAAATTGATCGGGAAAAATTGAGAAATAGAGAAAAGAAATTCAAGCAGCATTGAGAAAACATAGGTAGACTAGACACAAACTATTTGGTTCTATTCCAAGCTATTGATTTTTTTCTTTCCCGAGAAATTCAAGAGCCGGGAATGGAATAAATTGAGCGGAAAAAATTGAGAAAAAAAGGAATAGAAATTCAAGAGAAATTGAACAAAAATTGGTACACCGGTGAACATAAAGTATTTGGTTTCTATTTCCAAGATTGAATTTTCCCTATTAAGAGAAATTTAGAAGAAAACGAAAATTCAAGCGCCAGAAATAGACAAAAATTGAGACTGAAAAACTGAAAACTATATAAAGAAGAAATTTAGAAAAATTGAGAAAAACATTTTAGATAAGAGGACATTCATGAGTTGGGACTAGACAAAAATTGATTTGGAAAAATTGAGAAATTTGAGAAAAAACTGGCACAGTATTTTGTTCTAAAAACTGAGTACCTACTCCGCTGATACAAAATTGGTATTTTTTCATACGATTATCAAGCTTAGAGTGCTTAGACCCGGATCTTTTTCTTGATCTTCGGCGTAACGCATTTAAACGCCAAACTTCAACGGCCACCATAGTTCTGGTGGATTATCGCTTTTTTTTTCTTAACTGTGTGGAAATGTTTGCAGAGCTCCGACCAGAGAACATTCTTATTAGTTGTTCCGGCACGATGTTCTATGTTCTGTATCATAATTGAACTCTTGTAGCAGCTCAATCCATCGGAACTTCCCGGTCCTCAGGGTTACGAGGCATCTTAAAGCAGCATAGCCAGTTCTCAAGAAAAAAATTCCACCAAATAGACACTTGTGAAAGTGTTCAACAAACCTCCTTCGATAGATACTGGCAGGAACTCTCGTCGTACGTGCAACATAGTAAAAACGATCCGATTTCAACAAAGTTTTACCGAAGTAACCTATGATCTATCTCTAGTCTCCCGCCTGGATTCGCCATAAAACATTTCCCAGTCCTACATTATCAAAATAGGTATCTGAAATGAACTTTTCTTCTAAAAGTGGATACCTATTCCAGAAATGTCTGGTCCAACTCTTGGGAAGATTCCTGGCAATCTTCGTCCCTCCTGAATTATTGTTCGGTGGTGAGCTTGCTAAGTGGTTTGTCCATATAGTATACAGTAAAACTAAATTATGACCTCGGCAAAATTGCAACACAAATAATTATCCTTTTTGCATTATACTGTGTGAAGTGTCTTTTTTAACATATTCAAAATCCTCATTTTTACAGACCAACCTTATCGAATATCCATTTCCAAGTGATAAAAGCGAGATATCTGTTATCTTTGTATTGTTTTAGATTCATAAAAGAGTGAGCTAAGATCTTCCTCTAGAACTAGCCGTCTTTGGCTTGAATATCGCAATCTGTAGCAGCTACCATTCGTAAACTCATAACTGCAAATCGTTTAGGATCATTTCCAATACTACTTGAAGGTCTTACAGAAACCCTGCCCATTTTTGCAGCAGCTGAGCATACTAATTATACAAAATCAGTTTACCTTCAGCTACAGAACATGAATGAACTTCACAGCATGCATCCTGAAATCTATGCAGTTTTCAATAAAGGTGGTCATGTGATACGACGTACTGACAGCAGATTTGGTAATTGAACAGTGTTTAATGAGATCACTCAAGGCAAATGGAGGTCTCACCAGAGTTAGTGGTATGTCCGAAATACGAAAAGTCACTTGGATGTTGTCAATGCCTGTGTATTCGGACGGAATACAACTCGGTGCAAAAGCTAACAAACGTTGTATACGAGTCTAGTGAACAGCATAAAGATTTGGCATAATCTCGGATGAAATGAGACACGGAGGACTCAGATAAGATACTTGAGCTACTGAGATCGATTTCACCTCTAATGACTCAACTTTGCAAAACATTGTTAATGGTGTCACAGCAGAACAAGTGAATGTTGATGAATTTAAAACCATTGGTATAGACATTGTGGAAAAGATGAAGGGCCACGAGGTGTTTTCGTATAAAACAAAACGAAATGACAAGGCAGAAACAATTTCTTCTGTATCATTCATTAAGTTCAAGAACAAGGAGGCCAGTATTGACCCAGCTCTGCTATTTCAGCGATTGATTATGTTATCTTCTTCCAGTGAAACTGATCTCGCAAATGTAATGAAATATGAACTGTGCTCCTTTCCACTTGTGTTATTTGAAAGTCCAATAGTATTGTTAAAAGCAGACAAGCCAAAGCTATCAAGGGCATTGATTGCGCATGTTACTTCAAATAATGCTCAGCCATTTGCGACAGCGGGAGAAGGTGAATCAAGTTATGTGCTCGATGGAGGGTTCTCACTGCATCGCCTGTCATGGCGGAATGACATTACATTCAAGGATATAGCAAGATGTTATTCGTCGTTTGTGACAGCTAATTATGGGCAAACAAATGTTGCTTTTGATGGCTATACATATAAAAGTCATGACCCATAATCGCCGAACAAATAGAATTTTCCCCTCTGTGAACTTCACACCAAATATGACATTCGCAGGAAGTAAGGAAATGTTTCTTACTAATAAAGAAAACCAACAAAAAATAATTACTCTAATCTCTGAAGAAATACGACAATATGGATGTTCAGTAGTTCATGTAGTTGATGATGCTGATGTTGACATTGTTAAAACTGCAGTGGAATCTACAAAAATGAAAAATACAACAGCGATAGGAGAAGACAGTGACCTATTGATATTGCTGATTTATTGGTGTAATCAAGCATACCACAAGCTGTTTTTCAGAAGTGATAAAAAACCTTCCAAACAGAATAACATATATGACATCAATGCCATCAGATATTCGCTCGGAAATGACTTAGCGATCAGTCTATTTTTTATACATTCATATACAGGATGTGAAAGCACCTCCAGAATATTCCATATTGGAAAGAAATCAATTTTCAAATGTGTTGTTGAAGATCAACACTCTTGTGAACTTGCACTGTCGTTCAGCCAAACAAACCTCAATCCCAGTCAGGTTATTAAAGTATCGAAGGCAAAATGATTCGTTCAGCCACAGAACCTTCCCCCAACGGAATCACCTGTCAAGTACCATAACCTTCATGCATTTTTGTAAATTTGTATATGGAAACAAATGCAAGAAGGCTTGAACCCAACAGACTGGGGATGGAGTATACATGATAATATGTATGTACCGAAAACAATGGATTTACCATCAGTAATATACAGAAAGTATATTACGTATAGAAAGATGTAACTGCAAAACCGACTGTGGTGCCATGAAATGTAGTTGCCGGAAGAATGGTTTAGAATGTACCATGTGGTCAGTGTCAAGAAACAAATTGTGAAAATAGTCCGCAGCGAATAGAAGATGAAGAAATGGAAAGTACAGATGAAGATTATGATAAATGTGAGAAAACGGCCAATTCATTCTAATTTTTAATTAATTAATCTCGAACTGTCTTCATATTTTGGTTATCCACAATAGGAGACTACATAACCTTGATACTGAACTTACTTCTGGAAAAAGTGACACATAAATCTTTGAGATCAGTTTCCAGCCAGGGCTTGTTAGTCTCTAAGGCACCTGTTTTAAGTTTCTTGTTTGATCGTCAAGTGATTTTCCGACAAGATACACTAATGGCCGTTTCCACTAACTATTTTAGGGGAGCCCTAACGATAAGTATTCCCTAAAATGACAGTTTTCCATGGGGAAACGTCAGTTTAACTAGTTTAGGGAATACTTAGGTATCGTTAAGGCTCCGCTAAATTAGTTGGTGGAAACGGTCATATGCCGTCTAAGCATCGTGGTTCAGGATAAGCGCACCTTAAAACAGTTTCCATCAGCCTCTCAAAAACTGGCAGGGCCATTACATAATCTAAATGGATAACAGTTCAGTCCAGTTCTAGCACTTCCACGGACTAATAGATGACTCAATAACTCCTTTTTTCTCCATATCCTGAAATATAATTTCAGCTTCTTCTCGCGGATTAGCGAATTAGCTACTGTACATCAGCGGTGTTGCTTTTGTGTTCAACAAATTTTGTTTTGCCTTTTCTTTATAGTCCAGTATTGAAAACGTCGCAAAATTGTCACAATGAAGCCGAAACCAACTTTCTCATTCCATCTTGTCACATTAGATATCCTCACAGAGGAAACTGAAACTGAAGAGCGATATTTGACATCCATTATAACTCTGACGGGCACACCGCGTGA